CGGCTTCAATTTTCGAATTGCAGAATAATTAGATGCACTATCTAGTGTATATAAGATATCTATGGGAAATACAGCCGGTCCAATTTGAATGGGATTTTCGTTCATTTTAAGGCTTGCGCAACCTACGAGTAAGTAACCTTTTGAAAGAGCATGTAATTCTATACAATATATGAAATTTTAAGAAAATCCTATAGAATAGCGGGCGCAAAATCTACAACTGAATTAGCCTAACAGGAAGTTCTTCGCAACGCATATAAATGGCTTATAATAGTATATAAGACACGCGGTAATACAGTCCAATTTGAGTGAGATTTTCGTTCATTTTAAGGCTTGCGCCTTGCGCAACCTACGAGTAAGTAACCTTTTGAAAGAGCATATAATTTTATACAATATATGACATTTTAAGAACATCCTATAGAAGAGCGGGCAAGATTTTTACATTTTAACAGACAGTTGTTCAAAGCTCATAGAATGTCCAATCTTTCTCGGCGACGCTTGCGACCGTCAATTAAGAACTAGCCAATAGAAAGGCGCGTTCCGAAGGGTGAAGATTTACTGGAGTAAATAATCCTTCACGTTTTCCAAATTCCTTTTTTCGAGGAAAGTTTTCTTTCGAATTACAACTCGAACTCTCACGATTGACTTTTTGCTGCGTCTTATCTCTGGTTTTATGCGCCCAATATGGACAAAAATACCACCGTTCGATTCAGTGTAAGAGATTATACTCACAGATGTCAAATGTATTACTAAACTACAGTATTCTAGCGATTTATGGCCTTTGAAAGACAAGCGAAATTGTATTGTTCACAAATCGCTCAAAATTATTAAACTAATTAAAAGTGCAATACATTTGACCTTGATAACTTTCGTATTGTTGGTTTTCTCTTTTTCGGCCGTATACCAGTGGGTTCGTCTCACTTTTCTCTTTATTTTGTTAGTAGTTTGAGCCCAAAATATTTTATTTTGAAGGCTTTAAAACGCAGTTTCGACCCTAACGTACGGACCAACTGGCGGCCGACAGGAGAATGTAGCGTGCTAAATATTAAACTAGGGTACCTGCAAGGTAGGGATTGCTGCGGGCATTAAAAGCAAATAGAACCACAGTAAAGAACATAAATTATATCAAGCACAGTGATTACTCGCAGCGACTAGTGAGCTGTGAATGGAACTGAGAAGGACAAGAAGCAATATATATTGAAGTAGCAAAGATTGAAGTAGCAAAGACCAGGGGTTAAAGGGTAATCAGAGGTGACAGATATTAAACATGTGCGTCTCATTGACATACAGGTAAATAAGATCAGATTTCATATCAAGTCTGTTTACTGCTAGGCGCATTTACCAACATTAATAATAATAATATTTAATATTTATATTGCGCAAATTAAATACGCTAGATGGGGCCCCTAGATTCCTCCTGTTGGCTAATACATGAAGTTTCTAGTGAGGGAAAAGTGAGCGCGCGAGGACCCACCATCGAATTTTTATCGAATTTCTAAAGTTTTTTCATGTGACGTCTAATGTTACGCTTACATTTGTTTTGGACTTTGGCCACTGTCAGTTCTATATTTTTTATAAAGTTTTGGTTTCTTAGTGTGATAAATCTGTGTATATAGACAATATAGTCTATATATATGCGCATTTGATCATATACTATAACATGTTTGGTTACATTGGTCATTGTACAGTTTTGAAGTATGCATATTAAAATATGCATATTTAATACATATAATGATTATATTGATTTTGAAAGTTGAGAAAAAAAATATCGTGCAAGGACACAGAGGTAATAAAAAAATATCCTGCTTGTCTGAAGGACGAAAAAAATATCGAGCAGTGTGGAAAATGCACAACCCC